TGCTGATATACGGTGACAGTTTCTCTTCTGGTTCAATGCACCGATAGCCACCAGAGAAGTGGCAGCAGCAGCAAACCAGTCTGACCCAGATTAATGAACCAGCGCTCTCCCATTAATGACCAATGTCTTTTTTTTTGTCCAATCAGCAGTTCCATACTCCTCCATGTATCTAACAGTAGTTCATTAGCAGCTTGTTGTCCTTCTGTTCAGGTGCTCCGGGGCAACTTTTGCTGTGTCCAAAGACACACAAAGGGATCTTGTTTTTCCCACTACGGTTCGGGGCTTCACAGTTTGTTTCTGTGTCAAACCAGTGTCCAATCAGGTGGGAGGATGAGTCAAGGCGAAAGGAATTGTATGTTATTTTCGCCTGTGACAGTTGGGAAAAAGGGAGGAGTGGGGTAAAAGTTTGGAGAGGGAAGGTGTGTTGAAGTGGCGAAAATGAGATTTTTGAGAAAAAAAAACAAAACTCTCCTTTCAAATATTCTACACACACACACACAGACACACACACAGCCTGGATTGTTGTGTTAAGTGGGCAGTGCTTTAACTGTACAGTTGCCCGTGTGCTTTGTCTTCATCTGCACTGAGTGGATGAATGGAGGACAGAGCCAAATGCTTCCACTTGGACATCCTTACAAAGATGGAGAATAGGTGACATATTTTTCACAGTTTTCATCAACTGAATCGGAGATGGTGTGTATATGTGTGTGTTTTTTTTCTGCTCATGGTTTTAATCTCCCGTGAACAGGTGTGTGTGCGTGATGAGCTTTTAGCTCTGTCCTCCATACCCTGCTTTCTGTTAGGCTCACAAACACTCATACAAAATTGGCACACAATCAGCACTTAAGTCTGTACACAAATGAAAAGGGTCCTCGCACAGTCCACATCCGGTCCAACAAGGCAGTCGCCTCGTCCTCAACTTCCTCACCCACTCCACCTTCTTCTACCCCTTGAATTTTTACTTCATTTTCTCTTTACCATGTGGGTCACTCACCAAAGCTGCCTGCCCGTGTAGGTGGGAGGAGCAGAGGGAACCTGCAGTGGGAAAAAATACATTAAAAATGACAAAATTATATTAAATCAGGTGTATGAACACATACGTGTGCACAGTGCAAGTGTTGGCCATGCTTTGAGTCTGCAGAGAGTGACAAAGTGTGTTCTTAATCCTCGATCACATGTCTTTGTTTAGTTGTACAGTTGTCTTATCAATAAAAAATGTGATTAAATCCTGATTAATCCTGATTAATTGATTGTGTCAGTCAGCTTGTCAGTGCTTGGCATATTAACTGCCCTGCTCTTAAAGAGCCTGGTCTGACGCAAGCCTAGCATCTGACCTTAAGCTGAAGCCTCCACAAACATGTGCTGAGATGGTATTTTAAACTCAAGCTGCTTAGGTGAAATGAAAACTGTTGTATTAAATCAACAATTTGTTTAAATACATTTTAAAACAGATTAATTCCACAGATTAATTAAGATTAACTTTGACAGCACTAAACACTGATATCGTCCTTTAAAAAAATACAACTTTTGCCGCCATCTTGCACATGGCTTTTCTTGATGAAAAGGTAACTGAGTTCCTCCTCCTCATAGTTTTTCTTTTATTTCCACACTGCCATAAGGGAAAAATGTGTTCCACAGTGTCTTGCTACATGTTTCTTTTCCAAGTCATTGATGATGTCTACATGTTCCTTTGTTTACATACTGTACAATAGACAGGATGAGCTATTGCTTGCCAAAACAGCAAAACTAGCAATAATCCTTAGAATGATATTGGTCAGTAGGTTTGCTGCATCAGCATTTATTGTGTACCTGTCTACGTGTGTGTATTATGTGTTTGATGGTGTGCTGCCCAGCACTGGATCACCTGTGTCAATTCACTGTGTGTAATGACGAGTGTCAGGCAGTCGTAAATCGCCCGGTGAGCCTTTCACACATACACAGCGACACTCAGTCATTCTCGTACACATTTACGAGTCAATGTGAGTAGACATGTATGACAAATACATCCAGGAATGTGTTTGTGTAAATATGTTAAAGTGGAAATGCACACACATACAGTACACAAACCTCTAACTAATTCTTGTTAATGGCATACGGTTAGAAAGCACAAATCTGCATGCAGTTTTCTCGTAGTGGCTGAACGAAGAAGCAGCGTGTAAGCGGCGTGTACCTGAGAGTGGGAGGAAGTACTCACCGCTCCCCCGTTTAGGATCATGGTCATCTCAGTGGGCTGGTACACGTTGCTGCGGAAAGGTGCGCTGGGCCTGGTACCGGTGTTACTGTTGTGTTGTCCAGCACCACCAGCACTCCTCAGGCCTGGCAGGATGAAAACAGAGACAGAGATTTCTCACAGTGACTCATTACAAGAAAGAAACACTTGTTGTGTAATCTCACACCACCTACATTTTTCCTTCCCTACTTATTCTAGCAGCAAATTAAAAAACTTCCTTCTGAGTCACTGCAGTCCACATTGGTGCTACTGCGTCTGCACACAGAAACCTGTCTGTGGTGTAACAACATCTAATGATCTGGTTTTAAAGATAACATCATTTATATGGAGATCCTCATTCACGCCAGTCACAAATCTATTTAAAACTTCAAATTGCTTTATGGACTTTTTACATTTTCTCAAAGACTGTTCCTGTTCTCAGGTTCAATTACTCTGTGTTGCACTCGGTTCTTCTGTTGCAGCTCCAGTTACCCTTGTTGTAAATACAAAACCTGTTGAACCCCCCTTTTTTCCTTACAACATGTCTCTGCAGTACTTTAGGATGTAAATGAACACAAAACTGACATAGTGTTGACCTGAAGACCTGAAACTAGTCTAATTTCCCCCCCTACATTCATACAGTTTTACCTTCTTCTGTTTTTACATGGTCTTTTCACCCAATCAGAGAGCTGTGCCCTTGTTTTTATATATTTTTATGACAGTATCTTACCTGCAGCACTCTCATCGTTGTATCCATAACCCTGGTTCTCCACAAACTGCCTGTGAGACAGAGGGATGTCTTCATCAAAACTGGTCTCCCGCATCCTTGTCGAGTTCTGGGAGGTGTCAAAGTAATCCGGTGCAGTGGGCTGTGGGGGGGGTCTGATGCAAATGTGTGCTTCAGGGATGGCATGGAAGATGAGCAGTACCCAGCCCTGAGCTACTAAAGCGATGGCAAGTGCGGGTTCGTTCCACTCTGGAGACTTCCCCAGCCAGTCATTGCCGTACAGGTAGAAGCCCACCCAGGCAACCCACAGCAGCAGCGACAGCAGGCAGGTCACCAGCAGCCAAACGGCATTACAGCGCCACTGACGTGTCTTTCCACATACAGCCAGGGAGGCAGCGGTCAGTGCAGCTAGCAGAAGTGCTAACACATAGCTGCAGGCTAAAGAGAAGTCCATGGGCAGATACTGACAGGCGGCCCGTCCCTCACGTAGAACGGTCAGAAGGAGCCACTCTGCAGCAATGATGCCCTGAACAGTGCTCAAACCCAGGGCCAGGCCAGTCAGGGCACACCCACCGGGGCTCCGACGCTCCCGGCCCAGCCTTCGCAGGCGCACGCCTTGCACCAGCAGACAAGAGAAGCACACAGCAAAGAAAAGCCCCCACAGGGCTCTACGGAGCAGACACAAGGTCTCATCCTCCTCGATCAGGTACGCAAAGCTCAGGCCAAACAGGCCAAGGATGCCGAAGAGCAGCAGGAGGATGGGTCCCACGCTGCTGCGCTTCTCAGCCTCACTTATGTGGCGTAAACGACACAAGAGGACAAGGGCGAGTAAGATGGCAGTCAGTGTACCACCTGTGGCCACGGATTCAACTGCCACGCCCCATATTGAGTCCAGATCACAGAGGAGGGTGAAGGGACGCTCCAGGCCCCATCCACAGCCCCTTGGGAGGGCGTCAGAGTCCTCGAAATCCTGGCTGCGAGCTTGATGGGCAACAGTGAGCAGCAGCAGGATTGAAACTGGGAGGAACGCCATTTATCTAAGGGAGGAACACAGAAAACAGAGAAGACGATAAAAAAGAGGTGCAAGGACTGAAAAACAATAGCACTCATATATGAAGAGACGAGAAATAGAATATGATGTATAATGAAGACAAACGTTTGGTTGAACCAAGCTTGGCTCAACATTAACACTGCAATATTTTTGTGTTTATTTAATTTTATCACATTCAATTAACTGCTGACACACAGAACCTGGACAGAACTGGAAAAAGAATCTGCTGCCAGCTTCTTTATCTTAACAGGTTCTGAGGAAGAGTAAACTGAAAGCTTGCAGTGTGATTAAGGTGTGTTTTTATTTTCTACTTTCATCCAGTGGTAGGAGCTGCACCGGTATCTGTGTACACCGCACACTAAAATCAGAGATATAGAGACAGGAGGTTGCAGTTTACAAGCAGTTTGACACACTATGAGGCATCTGCAGGCGTCTCGCAAAGGCACGAGGATGATGAATAACAGCACACAAATAAATGCACCGAGTCTCAGGCACAAGAACAAAGGCTTGTGCACATTTGCCAGAGCAGTGTCCCACTGGAACATGAGCAGCACTGACGTGAAATCAAAGCTGTCTTCGTTTACTGCCGTCTTTATCGATCACACAAACGCTGTTTTGTCTCATTGAGGACGTCTATGTGTTTGAATGATGTCATGGCATGTGACGAAGAAAATAGGGAGTTTCTTAACGACACACTGAATGGTCACAATGGTTATTTATACAGTACAGCGATAACAAGAGCACTGGCCATGGAGTGCGTTAGACTTTTAATGCTTCATTTCTGAATATCACCACAATGGAGGAATACTTTGGTCTTTAAAAAGAAATCTTCAAAAGTTTTTTAATTGCAGTAAAAGTATGGGTTGTCCACCAGATGGAATGGTTTGGTGGCCAACTTACACCCACTGCCAGTTGGACAGGCTCTGAGATCTCAAGACACAAGAAGTGGACATAGCCCTCGGGTGGCAAAAATGAATTACAAGAGTAATGCTATGTTAAATATATACAGTGGATTTTTACACATACAGTGTCCACTTATTTTTACACATAAATTGTATCTATTCATGTTCAACAATTGATGAAGATGGAGAAATTAGCATTTAAGACTCTCCTTGTAAACCATGTCTTTTTCTTAATCACTAAACTAGGTATATATTTTACAAATGTGCATTTTACATGTATATTACAATACAATAATGAAGTTTAAATACCACAGCTAGCGAGTCAAGCAAGGAGTAGTCTTATTTTTGTATTGCAGATTCGCCCCCTGGTGGTTAACATTAATCTGGAGTCAAGCTTTTAACCTTACTTTTAAAAATCCGACTGCTGTTCATGTTCTATATGAGGTCTTTGACACTCACACACGTTCAACCTTATTACATTTCCCTTGAGAAATTCTTTCCAACATGAGTCAGATGAGTGCAACTGTTGACACACACACACACACACACACACACACACAGATGCACACGATTCTCACTCTGTTCTTATTTTTAGGGATTCCTGACTTTCACGACAAAAACTCACTCACCAGTACGCAGCAGGCTTCACATGTCTGATTAAAATGTCAGTCAGGTGTAGTTACAGAAGATGGCCAGACTGTCTGGGGAGAGCCTGAGGTTTAATGAACACAAGACCGACTACAGGTCACAGAGCCTGGAGCCTGTGGTAGAAACAATGGAGGTGTGAAGTGTGTGTGAGAACTGTGACCTGTTTTACTGTAAGAAAATAAGAAGAAAAATGAGAGGAGGTCAGGTCACAGAGCGGTAGAGGAGGTGGGGGTTGTTGTTCTATTAACATGTAACTAGGGCTGCACTCCATTAAATATAAATATTATAATCAACCGTTATATAAAATATATGGATTTTATAACAACATGCTGTCTGTTTCTACTTTGTCTTTAGCTTTAGCCTGTGCTAAAGCAATTCAAAAGCAATTGAATTCAGATTTATTTGTACGTTAATAAGATAAGAGTAAAATGCTACGGGAGCATGTGCAGCATGGAGAACAAATTGATTTTGACGATGGCTAGTGGCCCTCAGCAGTATCATAAATCTGAGGTTGATGACCCTGGTGAGGTCCACAAAGTCGAACCACACCGGTCTAATAAAATGCTCTATCATTCACGCACCTCTTAACAATAATGTTCTTTCTCTGAACTGTCCTGTCACAGATGAAAATCTGTCACTCGCCCTTTTCTATTTCGGGCATTTCTTATAAACATCTTGCAAATCTCACAGCGAACAGAGACCAGACATAAATCACAGCAAGAGGAAGAGAAGCGCCTGGGGCTGGTGTCCTGCACATTAGCGACTGTCACTCAGTAAATCTCTCCTCCAGACACAGACACCTGCACAGATGGTACTTTTAAATGTCTCTGAGTAGGATTTGGCAAATTAACAATGTGCATTAAGGGCTTCTAGTGGCCACACATCATCAGATGAACAAAAATCGCTCAGGAAACACTTGACTCTCCTGCCCGTGCATGAGCAGCACACCTGCTGCCATTCTCCTCCCTGCTTCTTCAGTCATGTAAAAAGAAATGGAGGAAAAAGACAGAGACTCTGGCCCTTTTCCTTTTTTTTTTGCTTTGTGCTGCTGCTGCTGTCGTCGCATCCTCTCCACCCACCCATATTTTTAGAAAATGTTTCTCTTTCTCTCTCTGTCACGGCTGCACCATGCAGCCATTTCTGTCCTCCATTTACAGACCCCAGTTCTGTCAGGGAACCTCTGCTGTATTTGAAAATGGGCTGTGAAAGATGCAGTCAACCTGTCTGATCACCGTGACTATGGCTGTCACAGCAGTAGAATTTAAAACTCAATACTGGAACTCAATATCTGGTTTTGACACCCAAACCAGCTTAAATTTGGGTCGGTAATTTGAACCATGTGCAAAACCATAACAATAAACTCATATACACAGTGTACCAGGTAAATACTGTGATAACATGACTGCGTAGTACTTGGCATTGTTGTCATTGATATAGAAGTCGTTTAGCACTTACTGTCAATAGCATTTTAATCAGAAATGGTTAAATACCAGTCTGTTATATAGACGTGTTCCCTTCAAGGACGGCGGTCCAATTAAAGGTGTTACTGTGCGTGTGCGTATAAACATACTGAGTGCTATTGTCTTGTGGCTGGTTGACCTTTATCACATACTGAGTGTCAAAAAGTAACACTCGCAGGCAGAAATAGTCTCCTTGTCCTAATTAACGGTGTTACATATCCATGAAACATATCCACGTAAAATATTTCTATTTAAGGGACAATTTTTGGAACACTTTTCCACCGCTCAGTGTTGTGAACATCGACTGGTACTGGTGACATGTGTTGAGCTGCTAGCCAGACAAGACAACTGTCTGTCTGCAGTGTTGTGGTGTGAAGCTCTGTCAACAAGAGTACGATCTCCGTCTAATAATTATACCAATTAGTAAATATGTGTTAATTAAAAAAACAACGACTCTAACCCAAACAGTAAAACTTAGTGTCTTCTTCTTCTTCCTCCTACTTCTCACCATCTTCGTACATCTCGTTTCCTCTTTCCTTCTCTTAACGCAATGTATCTAATGAAACAGAGAGCCGACTAGATTAAGTTAATGCAGTTTCTGCTGCATGGTTATTGCCTGCCCGACATCATCCTCGCCATGCGATGAGGAAGAAGCCTGACGTCCATTTGTGCACAGCACTCTTCAGGCTAACATGTATGCATTTTGCACATCTCGCTCTCACACACGGCCTGTTACGACGAGGTTCAGCGCTCCCGGCTTCTATTTGCATGTAAATTCAACGTCGAGTTTTGTGGCATGTATTATGCACGTGTGTATGTGAAGGCACCGCATTCTCACACAAGGCTGAATGTGGCAAGTATGCAGCATGCATTCCTTATGGAGCCGCTGACGGCACACAACAAGAACACAAGTGAATGTGCAGCACTGCTGTCTCTCAGGCTGTGAGGACCAAGATTTATGAACCAGTCCTGTGCGTTACGACCTGCATACCATCACAGAACTACAATCTATGATAATTCGGAGGATTATCACAGTGCGCTGACCTTTGCGATACTTTATGTTGAGAAAATTAAGTGTGTGTGTGTGAAAGAGAGAGAGAGAGAGCGAGAGAGAGAGAGGCTGTCCCGCTCGCTCTTACACTACACTCAGGAGACTCTCCCATCTGTGATTAGCAGCAGAGAAGTTGCCCTCCAGTTTCTCCTGCCAGCTCTCTAGGTAAATCTCCGGATAATCTCCAGAAGCTCATGTGACTAAGAAGCCGGAGAAAAAAGGCCAAGATTTCTGCCTCGCACAGATCATGTCCTGACCTTTGTGCATGTGTTATAATTAGACAATATCCTTTTATATAAATTGGATTTACAGACCTAAGAACATGAGTACACCTGTGTAGAACAAAATCTCGATTTCACTGGGAATTTACACTGGGTGTTTATTTGGCATTTATCTGACATTGTTATGGATTTAGTTTTGGCAGATGTGTAAACCCCTGGTTCTTATTGGGCCCATCACTATATTTTTACATTCCTTTTTGCCCAATCAGGATGTCCAAAAGTGTTCAAACCAAAAAAGCGCAATTACTGCAATTCTGAGATCCTCATAAATGAGTACAGATATAAATCCCTGAACTGGAGTTTCCATGTCACCAAACTGTTCTTCTCATAAATAACCTGTCCTTTTTTGATCTATTCCACATTTCTGTTTAGATCTTTCAGAATTATAACTGGCTTAAAATATGGTCCTGGGTTGGGCGTCTGTAATACGTTTTAAAAAAGAAATTAAAGCAAAGGTTCTTTGCATATCAAAGCGCTGCCTCAACTACCCAGGGTATCTCATACTGTTCTGCATATCTTAGATAAAGTACAGAGTATATGGTTCTTTCTTCATTGTTCTCTAGCATGGAACGACATTATTTATCAGTACAGAAGAACACAGGGGGAAAAACCAGCTTGTGTCTTTGTTTACGAAACCAGCGAGGAACTGTTTCTATTTTAGGGACACTTAAATCACTAATGTGTGTGAGATTATAGCTTTACCTTTGGTGAATACAACCACAGCCACACAACAGCAGATCCTTCCCTCTGATGGTGATATTTTGTGGTGCAACAAACATGTAATTACAGCGACTTATTCACAGAGTTACCTTTGACACTGCACTGTGATTCTGTACCTGCAGTAAGATCTCCAGAATGCATGTGGATGTGCATATGTGACCTTGGACAGACGTGTGTTTGTTGAACGTTCGCCAAGGAATGCATTTAACCCACCAACACAAATTAATCCACCGTCCCTCTTAATCAAAGATAAACAACACGTCTCTCTCTCTCTCTCTCTCTCTCTCTCTCTCTATCCATGGACTGTATATATAAGTCTGTCTAAGACATCACATTACAGTGACATATTATACTGTGACTATTACACTGCAACACTGTATGACCAGAGTCCTTCCTTGGACATGTCCAGGCGTGACCCAAGGACAAGTCACTAAATGTTGTAAAACCTTAAGTACAGGTTCATTTGAGGCTGACGAGCCCACGGAATTCAGACTTTCTTTGGTCAGTTTAAAGTAAAGGTTTGCACACTGTGAATATATAAAAAATATGCAAAAAAGTTTTAAAATGTTCCCACTTTATGAACCCCCCAATGAAACCAAATCAGTGATTTACAAAAACTATTGGTGTTTCATAAGTCCTGAGGGAATGAAGCAAACTGAAGTTTTTAACACTACATTATTGAGGCATTCTAATTTGTAAACAATAAATTTCGAATATAAAAGTTGGTGAGTAATGTCAGGGTTAGAGAATACCACAATGAGGGCATCAGCAAAACCTTCAGGTTTCAGGTATGTAGAAAGCTGAAGATGAGAACATTCAGATCCTGACGTAACTAGGAAACAAGGAATAGAAAACACAAACTGCTGCACTGGCTTCATCAAACTCCAGGGAGTCATTATGTAAAAAGTGACAATGGAAATATTTTTTTCCCAAGAACCTTCAGACATTCCTGGTCATCCTTATTAGGGCCTCATTACCATGTGACTGGGCCCACAGAAAAACAGTATGCAAATCAAGGCGCTAATTACCAGAGAGCCAACACCGACCAGCGCATAAAGTATCAACAAGAATCTTTCACTGTGGCTGGATGAGCTGAACAGGAGAAAGGAAGTGGATCACAGGAACCCAGAGAAAACGGATTTGTGATAATGATCAGAGGAACAAGTGAAACGAGCAACAGACGGATGTGCTGAAGAAAACTGGAGCAAGCTTTATGACTGGGGTGCACACACACACACACACACAGAAACACACACACACAACTTCATCCAAATGCACATACGTAGGGCATCAGGCCTGAGGAGATACTGTATCATCCTGTTTCCCCCCAGAGGAAGCTAACTAACTCACAGGCTGAGAATAAACAGCTCCACTCGGCTGAATATTGATTAATGATGGAAACACAACAGAACAGTTCCAAAATAGACCCGCTAGCTTTCTGAGTTCACAAATACTTCACTTCAGTGACAGTGACTCGGAGGCATCGTGTATCATCCATCCTTTTGATCAATCCATTGACGTCCATTTCCATATAAACCATCTCGGGCTAATTGGGCCCCAGTGGGCATTTTAAGGCCATTTCTTGCAGCTACTGTACTGCACAAGGCCAGTGTGGGAGGACCACGTCTTGTAAAGGGAGACCTCCAGGTTTTAGCTGACCAAAGGAGCAGCTAAATGCAAACACACATTTGAAAGAATGCCTCTTTCCCCCCTGTTCTTTTTCATAGAATCCCCCACCACCCCCCTCCAACAATGCCGGCCACATGGGAGGATCCCCAGGGGATTCCAGAAAGGTTTTGTCTGAGGCTGCACTCAGACCATTGTTATTAAATCGTGTGTGTGTTTGTGTGTTGGTTTTTCTTACATCTTTAAGACGTTACTACTAAGACGGTTTAACACTGACCTTGTTAGTACCATTGGTTGTCATGGGGATCGTAGCAGTCGAATAACAGGGACCTATTCTGAGGGTTTTGTTGTGGACTTGATGTTAAATGTTAATTGTAGCTAAACTGAGGTTGTGGTAAGGATGGTGATAAAATCGATCTGGTGTCCCAGCCTGAGAAGCTGTGTGTGTGTCAGGCTTGGCTCAACACCATTGTTGTTAAACAGAATAAAAACGTTTTATTGTCATTTTGACCCTTATTTCATTAGTTGAGTGATGATTTCAAAAGAAAAGAAAAGAAAAAAAGTATTATCAAATGTGTAATTCAGCTAACATTTAGCCACGTTAATTCAGAACGACCTCAGACCAGTTCTAAGAAAATGTTGAATTCCTTCCAGCTGTCCAGCGTCCACCAGTGGATAAAAAAAAAAACACATTTCATGTAAATCCACAAGACTGTAGCAACATGCAGCTATTTTCGAACCAGGACAAATCCACAGCAACGCACACTTAAGTGACAGTTTAGTGCTGCACACATGACCAGTAGAAATAAACAGTGTTTTTACAAGTACAAACAACAAATGGTTTTATCCTACATCTAGCATGTAACCAGAAACAGACAACAGAAGCAGCATGGATGTGTAATCTTTGTAATAATTTGACTCCCTGACAGATTAGAGAAAGTCAAAATTGGTATCAATAATTCTTTACAGAAACTTAGTTATCTCAGTTAATGCAGATCAGTCCCCAGCTGAGGCAAAGAAATGACTGGGCTGGTCCAACTTGATTGGTCAAAAAACTCTAACCAAATTTGTCTTTTCTGTGATTTCCACATATTACAACTACTCCAAGACGTCGTGCATTTTTACTTGATAGCAACAAAAATGTGTTATTGTGACTGACGTTGGATGTTAGGGTTTCGTTTCTGATCAAGATAAATTTGGATAAGGAAGTGCCTTGGATATAGATGGATTATGGTTGGATGCTGGATGATCCCTTGTTATGGTGAGAGATGGAGTGGTTTGACTGTACAAGTAAAGAGAAGTGTGGACAGCATGTCTCTCCAAGAACAGTGACGTAACCCTGTGCAGATTTGTTGGACGTTAAAGTGTCTCATTGTGTTTTTAATATCAGTGTCAGACGCCCAAAGTGTCTCATTGTGTTTTTAATATCAGCGTCAGACGCCAGTGGTTTAGGTGTTCATTGATTATTCATGACCTATTCATCATTCATATGTAATCTATTTCAATCAATTTTAATAATTCTAAACATTAAAAAAGACGACCAAAACGTTACAGTAACTGAATGTGCCAGTGTGATTAGGACTAAATGGAGGAGAGGCCACATTAGGAGCCAGACCTGTTAATTCTCCTGGGAAGATGTACCACAGCCAATCAGACACTGAATTTGACACTGAGCTGCTCTCTTTAATTTAGACTTCACATGATTAGGACGTGGTCATGGTGGTGATGACCCATTTTGATTACGTGTCTGCAAATACACATTAGTCTAACATGTCCAAACGTCTCCTTTTCTCTCTCACACACCTTTGTACTTGGTGCATCGTCGCTCTCTCTCTCTCTCTCTCTCTCTCTCTCACCCTCATTGCTGTCATTGCTGCAGCCTGCACCTCTGTGCTGATGGAAATCCCTTTAAAAAACAGCTCATCACAACAAAACACCAACAGACGCATCCTTCAAAATCCACATACCCCCAGTGGATTCACTCATACACCGTGTGAATATCACTTACACACGTGTCCACACGGTTTCCACACTGCCCTGCCCCCCTTTCCTTCCTTCCCAATAATCAACATCATGTGGGCTACATGGTGAGGAGCACGTACCTTTACGAGTGTAAACAGATCCGATAAGAAAAACTGGACTCTCACTTGTCAGGTCTGATCCTAGAGATGAATTTACAAAAACAATTAATGTCACATTTGGGAACAAGCGAGGGGCGCAGTGTGATCCCCGCTCTCCATCCACACAGACAGGGACGCGTTCAGACCAGAGGATCCCTCCTGCTCCGGGTTTCAAACCGGAGGAACCCGGTCATTCAGCCCGTGCCTGTGCTCTGTAAACGTTGGCATGAATCCTGTATTCTGGTCCTGACGAGACCGGGCAGGACCGGAGACACTGAGGTGTCAGGATCACAGTGTGTGACAGGGATTCTTGACGTTTTTCCTCTTAAATCCTTTGTTCAGCGGTGCGCATCTTTGCTCTTCACTGCGCCAGTTGTAGCGCAGTTACGGGGGAAAAAAGACGCAGAAAAAACGCAGTTCAGTGAAAGTGTATGAAAACACGAACACGGTGAGTAACACAACCGCTGAGGCCGAGGGTTGTGTGTTCGAATGTCCGACCACTGCTCCTGACTGAGGGCATCACCGGAGAGTGCGCTCCCGATGGTAATGGTAAACCCTGTCTGTGCACATGCACGCTCACACACTGAGAGAGAGAGAGAGAGGGAGAGAGAGAGAGAGAGAGAGATAGGCCCCAATGGTCTCCCTCCCTTTAACTGCTGCTCTCATATAAATTAATTTTTATCTGACATGGGGGGAAACCACTTTGCGCACGCTCATTTAAGCACACACACACACACACACACACATAGCTATAAAGTCACTGTTGTGCAGATTTTTATCGCAAACTCTTTTTGACTTCTGAAAATATTTATTGAGATTCTTCAAATAAGTCAGAAAATAAATATACAAATACCGTAAATCATAAAATCGAGATTGATTTCCGGTTGTTTCTTTCAGAATAAAAAGAATGAACACGAAATAAATCACTGCAAATCTGGTAAAGATGACACAAATGTCATTTTCTTAGTTGACTACTGTATATGAAATAAGCAAAATGATAAGGATACATTTAAAAAAAATAAATAAAATAATTTGACAAAAATGAACTGAAAGAACTGAACTATAGCCTACATAAGATTTAACTATTGTTAGCATACATCACAAGTTCTAGGCAGTTCAATGCAGTTAGTCTTGAAACAGAAGTGTAGTGGTAAAAAGTAGTAGTGATCTACACAATGAAACAAATCTAAAAAAAATATGCCGATGTGTCCTATCTTTCCATGGAGACATAAACACATTATTTTACACATATACTCTGCTTTTAGTTGAACTTCAGTGGCCAATTTTTGGCATCCAGCTTTTATTTTGAAAAGACTGCAGTCTCTTGGGGGTTTCTTTTTCCGTTTTTCTCAGTGCATTGACACTGCTACAATCCTCTGTGATGCTTATTATTTCTGCCTGTGGTCACATGCCTGTCGCCTCAGCTGCTCCAGTCCATCTAACAGGGAGGTTTTCACCGAGCACACACACTAACCCTCTCTCCCACCTCCCCCTAACCCCCGTCCCACTCCTATTCCTACTCCCTCCCTGCTCTGTAATCCCTGCTGTGAGCTGATGGAGGTCATGTATGGCAGTGTTGTCATGGTTTCATGTAGACACATTTTTCACTACAGTGTCACACATGCAGGAGCAGAGCCATGGCCGCCATGACACATGTGAGCCAGCTTTACTGCTCATGTCAAATGTTAGCACATTCAGTTCAGTTATTCCTTATCATCAACTGATATTTTTATTTTATTTCCCTACTAAATACTGATCCAGCATTTATCATGCAGTGTTGTAATATGAATTATTTAATGAATGCAGCATTTTATCAAATAATTTGCAGAATTTCCTGTAAAATATTAAAAATAAAAACAAATAGTACAACACGTACTTACATTTTGAGCATAATGAGCATTTATGAACTAATTATTTTTTTGTTTTTATGAAATTCTCACTTATTATTAGAAATAAAATATTTTTAATAAAAGACATTTTTTGCTTGAATCATGTCTGATCCATCGATACCAGTATATTTAGGTTAATGAAGTAGTTACTGAGTGTATTCGTTGGTCGGACCATTTCAAATAAAATTTGATGTAACACTTTAGTGGTCATGGCACCGCCCCAACATCAAGGAGACACAGGAACCAAGAACCACCCACATTCTGTTCCCCACAGCTCCTCTTTTTTCACACGCACACAGAACACATAAATGCATGCAAAGTGAGAGGACACGCAGGATGAGGGCAGTGGGGAGGCGTGTCATATGGAGTGGCAGCTGAGGATGTCAGGCTAATCTGACAGGTGCAAGCTGTGAGAGTGACAGCATGGGAATAGGAGGAGGAGGGAGAGTGAGAGGGGGAGGAGATGGTCACTGCTTAAAAACCGGAGGAGTGATCAGATTAGTGGGCCTCTCACCTTATCGCACACAGACTCCCTGTAAATCAAAACAAACCCGTGCTCACGCTCGCCGTCTGCATTAGCTGTAAAAATGTGCAGAGGACAGAAAATGACTTTGGTTCTACACAGTTAATCACAATAAACTGATAATGGAGAACATGCCTCTGTAAAAGCTCTCATCAGGATAATTGAGCAATTAAGAAAATTTATTAGGCTGTGTCAGTCGTATTAGCAAAGTGTAGCGTTGTGGGTTGTGAAGATAGAGTAGATCATTTACATTGCATTTCATTTTAAAGAATGAAACTGGATTATTTCTGCAGGAACACAGATTTCCTCACAGTATAGAGGATGCAGAGTGAGTAAAGGAAGGTGATGTAATTAAATATTCCTTTCTTCAACACTATCCCTACAACTTTCTCTCACTTTAAATTCAATAATATCCCAGTCCATTCACCTTCAATCTTTGCTCTAATACACGGCCGTATTTCGTTTCACCCAAAGCACCTCGAGCTCAAAATACCACCCGAGTATCCAGCATGTACTTGCAGGGACTTCAACCTCAGATCAGGTGTCTGGGCTGTAAATGAGTCTACGACTGACGAGCTAACTAACGCAAATGACAAATGGGTTGTGAGCGACTGTAGACTGGTTAATATTGTGGATGACAAGGACTTCACCAAAGCTTTGAATCAACATCAACATCAACAGCTTAATGTTCAGCACAGAGCAGTCGGTTCAGGAATCCTGCTTTAGTATTTATGGACAGTGACAAGATAAGTGTGGATCAGTATGATCATGTGTTTGAGGCTGAGTCACTGACGACTATAGCCACACAGACAGGCGCTAGGCTAACTTTAGCTCTGCCTGCTGTGTTATTGTCTTTTAATGAGTCAGGTGTCATGTGCTGACAAGGACGTGAGTGTCTGTCATGTTTCCTCCTGGTTCATAGAGTTAATGTGTTTTTGTCTGCTGTCCACTGTCATGTCCATCGTTTGACGTTCCTTCTCTTCTTTGTCGAGATTCTGCTCAAATACACACACATGCATCGAAACACACGGCGACATCAGCGCGGCCGCTGACGTACTGGCTCCGATCTACATCTGCTTCCAGACAGAAACAAGCTCCAGAATGGAAGGCAAGCGACTTCACAGGATGCATTGACTATGACAGGATGCAGGTGCCCAAAATTAGCAGGAAGAGTGTCTAATTTTAAAGAGCAGCAACTCCCACTGTGAAAAACAAGTGCAACACAGGCAGGAGGTGAGGTGTGATCTTTGTGTTGTTTGCTGAGTGGGCTTACAAAGGATTACTGGGGAAAAGCCAGTGGAATTTCTGGAAAATAAACAAACATCTGCCTCATCTTTAGTCATGTTTATTTTTTAACACATGGGTTAGACAGTTACATAATCATGCTGCGCAAACTGTAGATCGTAAATATGAAGTGGAAGTTCCCATCGGGCTGCCAAAGTAAAACCTCTGAAAAAAATTGGAAGTTCCTTCACTAAATGAGACTCTTCACACATCACATTTTAGGGTCAATAAAAAAACTATTAACATTTTATGGTTCCTATCAGTGTTTTTAAATCTGCCTGAGTTCTATTTAGAAATGGTAGAATTCTCAGCTAACATTCAAAAGTTTCCGTATTAAAAATCCACCTCCTGCCAACTCCCAGTGTTTCACAACGTTGGAGAGTTACCTCAGAGCAGTGTCTATCACTGTGATGATTTCTTATGGAGGAGGCACCTCAGTGTACTCACTGGAAACCAGCACTGTCTGTTTAGTACATAATCTTTACACCTCTACTGCCACAGACGCTAAATATGCAAAGGTCACGACCTTTGGATATGGAATACCCAGTCAGAAAGAGGGTTGATATTAAAGACAATCTCAATCAGATCCTGTTGGGTCACTGTAACATACATTAATGTTGACAAAGAATGGAAACAGGAAAGACACACACACACACACACACACACAGAGGGGATTTATCTGGCCTGTTCACAGACCACCGCATGAAGCCCACCAGACTTTGTTTTCGTTCACTGAGCCTCTCTGTCAGTTCCTCCAGCATCTCAATGGCCCTCAACAGGATTTACCCCCATCAAGGTCGAGGTGAGGTCAGTGGAATAAAGGCAGCGCCAGAATTTACCTTCCTCCTCCTTCTACCAGTCACTGCCGTCACATGGTGAAAGGGTCATTGTTTTATAAGCCCGTCTCAAACCTTTAAGGACCTGGCTGTGGTCAGGGGTAAGAGTAAAAAGGGGCTTCTGTTTTTTATCAACCAGACACAAATGTCACCCAAACAGAGATTAGTTTTATTTACAACGACCAGCAGAGATCAGCTGAGGTCGTGATCTGATTCAACCGCAGAAATTCAACCTATTTTAAGGATCTTTTTTGTTGGGTCATTTCTTGACTTTTTACAGGCTGAATATTAAAGTTTTACTTACAGTATTTACTTTATTATTTCTATTTTTCCATATAGTTTCAGTAAAATTGCTCAGAAAAATATACAGCAATACTTTAACCACCAACAATACAATAGTTTCTGCAAATTGCAAACAACAAAGAAACAGTTCTTATAAGGCCACAGCAAGGGTTAGCTCAGATGGCTAACAGCTTAAGTATCTTACTTATCTTCTGTATTAGTAAGATAAGTGACAGTAGATACTTAAGAATGGAACAAGCTCAGGTGACAACGATTTTGTTTTCATGAACTTTGTTCACACAACAGGAACAAGAAAAGATCATCCGCTGCCCTGCACTCATGTCACTCTGAAGGCAAGTGAGCTGAAGCGTGTTTAACTTCAACATGTACGTCAGTGACTCTGGCGAGATCTTTCGACAACACAACTGCTTTGTGAGTTTGTCCAAAGTCCAAAGTTTGTCTTCTCTAACCATCCTTTCAGTTTCCAGTCCTTGACTTCTCAAAAGGAAGCTGCTCTAGAAGTGAAGCAGGGTGGAGAGGAAACATGTGTCGCCCACTTTTATTGTAGATTCCAGAGATCCTGGGATCCTTGACACCATCACACATGCTTTTTTTCAGACAGCAGAGGACCAGCACTGCTCTTAGCTATGACATAAAGGGTGAAAGTGTCGGTCATTTTTGGGGGGGTGTTTATTTACGGTGATGGATTATCTATGTGATAGGGCTGGGGACACATGTTTACCCACGTGTTCAAATTCAGTGACACCAACACTTTGCCGAACTCTTAACCCAGCCGTAGAGTAACATTTGATTAGTGCAGAGTAAAAGCCATTTGACACTGAGTGCTTTCACTTCCCTCCATCTGTAATGGCTTTGCTCATGTGTCTGAGGCCTTTTCATTCACATCTATTAAAAGCAGGCTCCAACAATCTGTCCACACTGTAACTAAATTCTCCTCTGGTTCAACATCACAAATCCCATGTCTCCACGTCTGTTTGTGCTGTTCATCTGTGAATTATTTTTTTCTCTCCCTCTCTTCACTGCAGCCTTTTGTTTCTCCATCCTCTCAAGCAGCTCTCACTCCGACTCTGGTTCCTGTATTCTGCTGATTGGTTTCCTCTCAGCATCTGCGCCCCGTGTTTACGTCTCTGGTTATTCAAATGTCGTCTTGGTTTGGACAATAAACTGTGCTATTGTGACAATATTCGAGTGAAACGCTCAGCTGCTTAGAGGAGATGAATCTAATGTTTAGCTGAACCTGTTTGGACTGTGTCTGCGTACGTAAGCTCCGGCATATAAATGGAGCTGGCAGGAGCAGACTCAGGAAGGAAGGAGCTCCACACAAATTAATCTCCACTGGACGGCCCAGCAAAGGAGCACAGCCATTTTTGGGAGCAAAGAGCCATCTCCTAGGCGAGTACCATGGCAACAGCTAACGTGGGCCCCAGCCTTTGGAGCTGTCCTTTTCAAGCGCCTGATCAAAAGTGGCAGTCCAGGTTTTTTGTTGTTCCGTGGCGTCTCTCACTCTCTCTCTCTCTCAGGCCCATTCTTCCACCTCTCCTTTTCTCTTCCCCTGCATGACATGGTCCCGGCCTGGTTGGGCACAGAGGCTGTGAGAAGACTGCAAAGGGCAAGTGTCTGTGGGAAAATGTTGCCAGACAACACGGGGCTATGTGACCCTGCAGGCGGGGCAGGCAAATAACTCCTGTGTGGGACAAACCAAGAATATACAACTGGTTTACATAATGAGTAGAGATGGCAAAAATAAACCTTAATTAGCATAAGTGCAAATTTGCTGTTGAATACTTGCGGAAGATTGAAGGAGACTGGAAAGTCTTTCCAAACGCACTGATCGCCTGGGCTAGATTTTGAAAAGTCAAAATTACTGAGGACCAATTTCTTGAAAAGCTATAACGAAGGGCAGATGTGTTGATAATTAAACAACTTAAGGGTTGTGGGATCAATTCCAGACTTGATAGTTTATCTACCATTGCAGCTTAGTCATCAGTCAGTAGATGCTAAGACAGGCCACTTTAGCATTTAATATTTATTTTACTGGCAAATAAATTAAGTTTTCCTTGAAATACCTTAATAACTATAATAAATAACATTGAATTAAAAGAAATTTGAATAAATCAAACAATTCAAACCATTTCTCATCTACAACTACAGTTTGTCTATATGTCATATATGACACTGACATTCAGTCACTATAGCACACTACAGAAGTACAAACACACTTTTGTAAGGTACGTCGTTGTGTTTTATTACATTATTACAAACAGTAATAATGACTGTTACATGGAGCAGCCGTTACAATAGTCACTAAAACGGTCATTTACCATCACTTTAATAGTTAATGTGAAGTATTTCTCATCACCCATCGTCCGTGTCTTCCTGCTGCAGTTTGTGTTCAACTACCTGTTGTGTGAAAAGGGAGCCACCTAGTGGATATATGATGAACTCCATACCAGCAATGAAAGCAATTGATTAGAATGAGAATATGTTTATACACTTAACACGTGACCAATGGCTAAGGTCCGGCTCTTTTTGTTAATTCTGACTAGCATTTCATAGTTTGTAGTGAAACTAAAACACTGAAACTTTGAATCAAGCTAAGTCTGAAAGGTTGGAATCGTTTTTGGGTATTTTTGCCTTAAAACGCCACCCACGCTTGATCGCTCACATCATTAGCAATAAGCTAAAGTTTTGTGTAGACCTATTGCTTGACTTTATACTACGTAAATGGTAGTTGTTGTTTTTTTAAAATTAATTAAAGACAATTAATGAAGCAACTTCAAGTTGTTTATATTACCCAAATAACCAGAACCTCTCAGTGTTTTCCTGCATATACTCCAGTGTGTTAGAATAATATACAAGTAAAAGCACTTAATTTAAACTACTACACTGTCTTTACTACGTATACTTTTTTTTTTCCTCTGGTAAATGTGCTTTGCCATTAGTCAAACAGATGGGTGGATATTATCACCAGACAATAAAACAGATAAATAGTTACACTATTGAGGAATTGCAGAGACACAATGATCTCCTTAATTCAGTTTAAACTAAATTTTACACTTACATGCTCTCCCTGACTGCTCCACATTAACGGGAGCTCATGAATGACTGCAGCCAGGCCTGGTATCGAGACACCTTCTGGAAGATGAAGCCTTTGCTACAGTCGGAGTCTAGCGGCTGGCTCACCACACCAGTCAGGAAGAACACCCCCCTGTGCAGGGTGAGCAGGGGGCTGCCGGAGCTCATGCTGCAGTCGGCGTTGGCTCGTGGAAGGGTGCAACCCATTTTATTGGTCAGCAGGTCAGGGTGAGTCGCCAGACACTTGGGCAGTTTGTTGTACACCAGCTGGTTAAGGGTGAGTGCGCCAGTGAGAGCGGGGTCTTCTTTGCTCTCCCTCCACCCGGTGATCACGGCAGGCAGGTCTCCGGCCATCAGGATGCTCTCCGCGAAGTCTCTCTCTGGCAGACAGGCGGGAAAGATGTTTTTCTTAAAGACGATGCGATCGCGGAGCTCAAGCACAGCTAGGTCATTTTCAGGACGGCCTTCAACGTAGCGTGGGTGGACGTGGATCAGTTTGACATAAACAGTCTGCTCCCCTTCCTCATAGCGAGTGGTGCGTTTGCCTGAACAGGTCGAAACAAATGAGAGAGTTTGAGATGTTTCTCTGACTGGTACACACACCTGTCTGTTATTCATCTGCTCCGACTGCTTCTCATGTTATCTCAAGTGTTTGTCGTGTGCTGTCCACTCACCCACAGCCACTTGGAAGTTGATGTACTTTTTTGCACACTTAGCTGAAGTCAGGACTAGGTTCTCCTTCAAAATGACACCACTGCAGAACCCTTCTGACTCGGAACTCTTCAGGAGAGCCTGCATCCAGCACAGTGAAGGTCATTAAAATCCTGATAAGGTCATTGCATGTAATGAGTCCATGAAAACCATCCTACCTGCCAGGGACACTCTGTGGTTGTACAGGCCAGTCCCTCAAAGTTGTTGCGAGCGTTGCTGGACATTCTCTCCTCCCAGCGACTCACACTGTTTACTTTGCCACAAGGATAATTGACTACAAAAAACAAGAACGGTGACAATGACGTTTCACATACATGATGGACTGCTTTACTATACTAAACTTTTGAACGCATGGAAGCCAAGAAGATAACAGAAATGGCGCCCCCCTTTGGTAGATAGGACTACTGTCAAGCCCTCCCTCTCACAGATTTACAGCTATGACTGACCAGTATTATTTGTATATAACAGCATCCAGCACTTTCTGCATACTCTCATTTGTGACGTTTTAGATCCGACATACAAATGGAACCCAGTCTCACGCAATTTTAGTTTGTAATGTTCATTTTAAAGCTTGGTTCTAACAGCGAAACAATGTCACTTTTCTTTTCTACCTAAGATATGGTCTGACTAACACTAGCACCAGTGCTGGAGGTCAAATCATGCGTTTTCCTGTAGTGTAATATACTACAACTACACAGACGAACCTGCAGACTCGCACTTGTTCTTGTCTGTTCTGCTGAGTTTCCATCCATGTGCACAGGAACACTCGTAGGATGTGTAGCCTGGTTTACAGAACTGAGAGCAGCCCTTGTTCTTTTCCAGGGTGCACAACGTTTGGTCTGTGTGACAAAAACAGTTTTTAGTGCATACACCAGAATTGATCAGCAGTTACAATCACAGACAACAAACAACAACAGCATCATCATCTCCTTCTCACCACTTTCACAGTGCACCCCTGTGAAACCCGTCTTGCAGACGCAGTCGTAGCCTCCCACGCTGTCCGAGCAGAGGGCTCCGTTTTTGCACGGCTTCTCTGCACACTGGTCTCCATCTAAACACAGACGCTGAGTCTGAGAAGATCTAATGCAGAGCTAATGACTTTGCAGCGATGGAAAATTATTTTATGGCAGCACTTACCAACATAGACTGACCAGAAAATATCCTGCAGGCAAAAACAGTTGAAGTCAGTGCACAGGTGGAGCAGAAACGAGACCATAAAGGAGTAAACAAACACCCACCGTACTATACGTGTCTTGAAAGAATCTTCTGGCTTCCTCATAAGTGCAAACCTTCTCCATGCAGGCCTGCTCCATGTTTGAAGCCTGAGCAGCGACACTCCTCTTCTGAAGGGAGATCACTGTGTTTGCCTGCTCCTTGTCCAAAAAAACTAAAAAAAAGCCCAAACAAAAGCAAAACAGAAGCAGACAGAAGTTCAACATGTTGTTTATAAATATGTTCTTTTTTTCATGGATTGTCATGACCCATATATATATATATATATATATTGGGTTTCAATTTGACAGGCTGTTGGACAAAAAATTGCTGCCCTCTGCCAGGGTTTTCTGTAAACAATTTAAGTTTTTTTCTATTAGAAAAGTTTATTTATTTTCCCTTTTAATACCAAATCAAATGTTAACAATGATTAGCAGAATGACAAACATTTAAAGTATTTGCAGCTCTGTACTAGAATATAATATGCAGCATTAAATCGTACATAAAAATGTCAGAACCGAGCAAATCATCTCCTGCATCTCAACATATCCAGTTTCTGAATCCGTTCTTGTTTTTCTCTGCGTAAGTAGGACAGAGGCTGAAATGTCACCATCTGAATTCTGTCATCTTGACCTGCTTCTCCCCCTCTGCGTGTGTGTGTGTGTGTGTGTGTCTCTGGTCCTCTCACCTGTCTGTGGCATTTGAATTGCAGTCACAGCCCCAGCCAACAGACACAGCAGAGCAGTGGATGTGGTGGAGGAGCCCATGATGACACTGAAGTATGACCCAGATCTGAGGCAAGAGGCCTGTGCAGCAGCGATGGATGAGAACTCCTGGAAAATAATTTGGATTTTTTTGTAGAGGATAATAACAATGAAGGAAAAAAACCCCAAAAATATCTAAAAGGTGTTCCTGAAAAGTAGGTCTGTCAAGGCCATTTACTTGGTTCACCCTGGCTTAGTAAAATAATACAGTCAAATTATTAGACCATCCTAAGAAAAGAAAAGCAGGATCTACAGTCTATTAGTCTGCAAAATGGGACAAGCCCTGACTACACTTACTTCTTTTAGATTAGTTAGACTAATAATGTAATCTTCTTAATGTAATGCATTTTTTAAAACACTCTGGAAATATAGTGAAAGTAAGTATATTCTTTTAGGAGGAAAATCGTATTGTCCTGCATTCAGGCTTCTCTGTTTACACTGTTTTTACTCTTTACAAAAAAAATTCTAAACGAGGTTTTCTACGTTGTTATGAATATCAGAGGTGTACAGGAGTGTTCACCTGTTTGCGGGAATTTTGTCAATCTGGCAACCCCGAGGATATAACATGAGCCACTGCTTTGTAAGACAATAACATTATTATATTAAAAGTCTTAATGGCAGCTATGTCTGATTGGTGTTAAGGAGTGAGCATCCCTGGGCCTGACACACCCTGGTTGTTGTTGTTTGTTTGTTTGTTTAGCTCATTGTAACCGAACGCAGCCTGGCTCTTATATAAACGTCCAATGGTTCTACGGTGTTTATGCTGACGACGGTTTCTACCGCTCAGCAAATGGGCAGTTTTTGACCTTTATAATTTGTTGCAAAACAAAAATGGAGGACGGCTGCTGGGCTAAATGGACGCGCAGCTAACATGGTCCACGATAAAACAGTGAAAAGCCGTGTCCAGTTCGACTCACAGCAGCAGGCCAACATTACAGACTTCTGTCAGGAATACTACAATTTCCTACCGCTTTAGGACTCACAGTCCCGGCCTGCTCCCTTTTCCTGCTCCTGCTGCTTCCGCTTGAAATGATCGGGCCTGTGGATCCACTGTAACGGATGTTGATGATGGTGGTGATGATGGTGAGGCTCCAGCTGTGTTTACTGCTGGCTACGGATGTAGTTACTAAATTGTTTCAACAGAGGGCGCAATTAGACAGCGCAAGCTCTGGTGAATTTTTGCAAAGATCCCATTTAGAAAAACTGCCTGAGATTATATACGACTTTTTAATCTGTTTAGACTAAAAAACAAAGTCTCCACTAAACTTAAAACAAGCATAACATCATACACAAACATTTTTTAATTATATTTTTAGATGTATTGCCACTATGTCTGCTATTTAATATCTAAGGAGAAATTTAGATTTAGATTTGGTGTGAAATAAAAATAAAAATCATGCCAAATATTTGAAGTTTTGTGAGATACTGAGATACAACAGGCATTATATTATTATACATTTCAAACAAGAAATATTGTTGTCACTGGGGAAACAATTGACTATTTCTGAAGGAAAATTCTGGCTCATATTCTTTATATTCTGCAGAACGTTTCAAGTGAAGTTTGTGTTAAATGGTCACCCCTCACCCCACTTACTGCTGCCGTCTTTCGCTTCCTGTGGCTTTGGTGTTCGGAATCATTCATGAATGTTTTTTGGGGTATTTTCTTGCACAAATATTGAATACAAATATTGAAACAAGTACACAACTAGTAAACAAGAAGTCCAGCCTGTGAAAATGTCTGACCATCTCTGCTGATGTCCTCACCAGAGTGTGTGTGTGCAACCAGAAAGGCCTTATTTCACATTGATCAAACAAAGTAGAACGCCATCATCTATGATCAATAACAGAAGCCACACTGCAAACAAACACTCACAATCTGGAAAACAGCCAATCAGCAGACCAGGGGGGCTCCACAGCACATAAGCTGGCTGAAAGCCTGCTGAAGGCAGACGAGCAAAAAAATCAAAGTAGACAAAAAGGATTAGATGGAAACTGTTGACAAACTGAACACAGGGCTGCTGTAAACGTTTTGGCAGAAGTAGTGAAGAAGAAATACCAAAAAGTACAAAATCAATAACATTTACAATGGAAATGTGAAAACACTTGGAATGCACAAAGGAAAATGGTCCCAGCATATAAAGTACCTGCCTTTTTCACACTAGGGTCAATGGGTTTAAAAGTTTTTAGTCGGAAAGGTCATTAAACTCTGTAATAAGCGGTTGAGAATATAGGCCATCAGAGCTACAGCAGTTAAAGCCAAACTCTCCACAGTGGCCTTATTCAATAGATTTGTTTGTGAGAACAATGTAATTTGCAGACAGGGCCTCAGGGCTTCAGTCTCAGCTGCAGCCGCGTTAACTGTCTCCATTTCCCAAGTCTAATGACAGAACGGTATTATGAGAACTTTCTCGGCCCAGCTGGTCTCTGGTGCTGGGCTGCCCGGTCTGGAGAGACCCATCCAAGGGTTGTGACCATGGAGGAAAAGCCTGCCTCGGCCTGCACAGCCGCCAGCTATTATGGATGTGTAAATTTTATCGCCTGAGATAAACAAGTTGTTGATTATGGGATGTGAGGTCAAATACAAGCTCATGCACAAGTCCCCACGTGTGTCTCCAGGCAGTGTTGAATTACTGAGTCCACTCGACGGGGACTTGAACCCATGGGGACTTAACCTGGACACCACTCAGATTGTCCTTTCATCAAGTAGAATGAGCTTTTATTTATGGCAAATGTACTCTGCATTTAACCTATCACCACGTCTCTGAAGAGAACCTGATGCTTTGAAGAGCACCAAGGGGACAAAGGAATATGATGCCTATGTTTTATTATTTTTTGTTTGTTTTTTTGTGATAAAATTTTTAATTTTATTTTATTTTGAGGAAAAATATTAACATAAAAATAGAAGAAAAACAAACAAAAGTGAAAAGGGTATGTACACATTAAACAAAGCATAAAATATATAGTCACATACAAACATACATATAAAACATGAATTTTTATATTTTTCCAAATCGGTTGACTATTTTCACTCACTACAGTTTTTAATTAATTTCCAGTTAAAATGACTCGTGGTGTTCCACATGGCTCTGTATTTGATCTACCACTGTTTGATGTATATTTCTATTCCTATTTTAATGACATACATTTTAGTTTTCCTTTAAAATGGATAAATTGTATTGCATTGTTGAAATATATTTAAATATTTAAGCACCAGATTAGGAAGCATAAATCTAAACATTAGTCACAACATATTTTGAATAAGATGAAAAACCATTCAAACTAAATCTGTAGTACTGTTTGGTACTGTTTTTGGTGAATACTGTTTGCATGCATGATTCTGGTTCTTACTACATTGGTGTGTGTTCAGTAAATGCTACAAAATAATTAAAAGCTCTTCCAATCCCCCATCTGTCTTCCTCAAAGTAATGTTTTATTCAACGTTTTGTCCCACCTTCTCTCTCTCTTCTCTCTCCTTCTTCTCCTGTTCCCTTTTTCCCATTTTCCCAATCCTGTCATTATTCTTTGAGCCTCAGCTCATAATTGGAAGAGAGCTGGAAGGAGAGAAAGCAGCACAGAGATCACGTGTGACCTTGCTGACCCATTCCTCTTCCTATCCGGAGTCCAATTTTGCAGGTGCACTAAACAAACAGCGGTCCACGCAGGAGGCATCCATAATTAATGCTGCCTGGTATTTGACACAATTTCTGAAGGATTAAACAGGGTACAAGGCTAAATACTCAGGAGCAGACACATTTTTTACAAAAAATATATTTTATTTTTCCACTTTAAATGTATTGATGCATGTGACATCTAGTAAGATGTTAGATCTAATTTCTAAATTTTCAGACATAAACAGGTTTTCTAATGTAAAAACATGTGAAGTGCTTCCTTTTGAATAATTGAATACTTATACAACTGCACTTCATTTTAAAATGATGTGATGAAATACAAGCCCTAGTGTCACAGCAAGTTATGCTTTACCTAAATTAATTGTATAATTAATTGTAATTGTATAATTTTGCTGTTGGCAAGCAAGCTGGATTTTGTTTTTGTTTTTTTAAGAATCAGTTTAAACTGGATTTCTGTTCAAATGTACAGCCACATCATGGTGTGTCAGTCGTGATACTTTGGCTGCCTGTAAGTTTGTCAAGCACGACCTTGCAGGGAGACAACGCAAAACAGCTAAAGGACCACATGTAGCTCAGGAGCCACAGGTTGCATATCCCTGACCAAAACCGTACCTCTCCTCTGGAACATTTGTTTTGCCAGAATGGTCCATATTCTGATTATTATGTTAATATGAAACAAATTTAATTCAATTAGACTTTTATTATGATTACTTGTGCCTGTTTAAACATTGCTATCGTCTGACATTCACTGGTTTTCCAATTCACATGTCAAACCCAATTACCTGAGAGATTAAAATGATCCACAGTCTCCCCGTTCAGTGTAATTCTGCTTGGTAATAAATACAAATGTCAACATGGCAACGGTGGCGCTTTGGCCCAGAGGCAATGTCATTGGTGTGGAACCCCAAGGTTCACCTCCTGGGCAAGTTTGAATCCTGGTTAGGGCGGTTGGTACCTTCCAGTGGACTCACCACCCGCAGGAAGGTTTAGGGGGGTTGGTGCGGTGAAATGTGAGTGGGGTGGTGACTGCTGCCTCCGTGGCCCGGTAATGGAGAAGCGGATGAAAATGGATGGATGGAACATGGCAACAGTAAGCAAATCACAGACCAGCTGACGATGGTGAGTGAAACAATAAAATAAAAGACACCAGAGTTTCATTTCACACATTTGTGCACGTCCACATGCAGCGACTCTGTCCCCAGACCATGTGTTTAATGATGATGTAATGGATTAATAACACACACACACGTGTGACCTGCAGAAACCTTTCTTACCTCTGACCTCACACACACACACACACACACGTCACAGCAAGGAAGTATTGAGGTCGAAATCACGGCCGCCGCACACATCGCCGTGTCCCCTGACCTGGTTCACTTTGAAAGACTGACACAACTTTACAGTTACACATAAAATCACTCACACCAATACAGTACGTGTATATTGAATCCTACTGCACACAACACAATCAGGCTCGTGCGTAATTGAGTTTCCCGGACAAGGACCAATGATGATGTTGTATTAAGTACTGGAGAGCGGGCCGCCACGGCCCCCGTGGGGGTCTTTCACAGCGACGTGCCGTGCTCCTGAAGAATCACCTTCCTCTGTCCCACATTTCCCTGTGATCAATTCACGTCAGCAGGCCATATTTTATTTAACACTTAATCGCGGTGCTCCACTCCTCACGTCCCCTGCAGCTCATTTGTTCACAAGTAGGAGAGAGAAGAATTAACAGCACACGATTGCTTCTTCTCACTCTCTTCTCTGCTTACCTCCACTCACTCACATGGTTCATCATCGTCCTGGAACCATTTCTAGTGGCATTACACAGGAACAGGTCAGCCAGTGCTGGCTGGTCCTCTAATTAGTTTGTCTTTTCATACAGTGCCCCCTGTATGTGATGAGAAGAGAAGAGATGCTATAATTGAAGCTGTGGGCAGGTTGATCCTGCTCCATCCTCCGGCTGGATGACTCACTTCTCTCTTTCTTTCACTGTTGTTCCCTCTCTCTTTCTGTCAGACTAAGCCCCGAGGTCGTGGTCGCAGTCACGTGCGCCACCTGTGGTGTCTCATATAGACCTGTGTGGAGTGATGTCCACAGCCCTGGTCATGCTGTGGAGACACAGATGGAGCAGAGAAACGAATAAATGTACGACTCACGCCAGAGCTGCTCCACTTTCTGCCTCCTGCACCATAGCAATACCTTAAAGCCCAAGGGTTTTTATAAATCATTCACAGTAGGAACAGCAGGTAACACTGACTCCGTAATGAGAAAAATATTCCACATCCCAACAGCACCCATTGTTGTACATATAAAACACTGATAAATTGTTATTATTAGAAAAATCTCTTTAGAAAAAAAACAACTATTATTTTTACATTTCGTTATAATTGTTTAATAAAAAGCAGAGCTATGTCATTGCTTTCAACCCAGAAGTAATTGCAAAAATGTGTCAAATGGTGGTCAGGTTGCTAACTAAAACGTAATTATTTGACT